CACACACACACACACACACACACACACACGCACACACACACACACACACTCGCGCGCGTCTTGAACTTTAAACAGAAAGCTTTCGAGACGTACGTCTCTTCATCCTGAATTTCTTGCCATAACGAACATTGCTGTTTCATCACACGAACATAATATCTAAAGCATAATTGCTGCTCCACAGTCCAGCTTGCATTTTCGCGTGGCCAGTGAATATTTACGAAGCCATAACGGGCCATTTACCTTACCTCGCCATTGTCGCGAATGCGAGAGAATTGTGTTTAACTTTGTCTGTTGCCGATAGATGGCGATATAATAAACAAAAATGGCGTATAGCTAAAAACAAAGTTTTATTCTTATGTTTGCGATAAATTGCCACAGCCATGTCGGCACATCATGTTTTCAATGTACGCACGTTGATGTAGCTAAGCCGTGGTTACACAGATAGATTTCTCTGCGACGTGTCTCGAAATCCTGTTCGCATGACGCATAATTATATTCGCATAGCTGAGTAAAAGTTTGACAGATCACGACGTTGGCTTCTAATTTAGCTTTGCTGAACATAAGTCAGTTAGATAAGAGTGTCATCCTTCCGTAACGGGCTTCACCAGATATCCACATTGTCTTTACGCCCCTACCTACATTATTACATGTATATATTTACAATAAAAATGTCAAAAAAACAATGTTATACATGTTACATGTATGGTAGCTCTTGACAACACGTATAGCAGCTTCAACCAAAGTTTCTACGCGATGGACCTACCACCTTTCGAAAACCCTTTATACACGCCCGCTGTTCACTATCACACCACCATCAACCCCCGTGTGACCTTTGCAGTTCAGCATCACCTACGTCGGTGGCATTAGTTAAGTACTCGCACAAGTTGCTTTAGTCGCAGCGGTTACGATATTGATTGATGCGCGTAAAGATCGGTCGCATAAATTGACTCTTTCCTTAGTGTCCTCAGTAATGCGCTGAGAGGTACAGAGTTGCACTTACAGAGCAGTGTCGCTGTTTTTGTTGAGTTGAGCATTTGAGGGACGAACTGAGTCTATTTACCACCACTAATGTACGTGTGTGTGTGTGTGTGTGTGTGTGTGTGTGTGTGTGTGTGTGTGTGTGTGTGTGTTAGGAGGAGGAGGAGGAGGCTGGGCATTAACGCGTATGTTCCGTCGAAAGCCGTGGCATAGGCCCACCAGCCCCTCTCACCACGCCATTCCCATTCCCGGAGCCCGTTAGACTGACGCCTTGACGTTTCAGCTGGTCTCCCACCAGAAGGTCTTCGCTCTGGTCCGCCAAGGTTCTCACACACAGGAACTCTCAATACACTCGGCAATACACGGTGTCAGTCTATCTTTGCCATGGTGGTGACTAAGCTTCCCAGCTCGTATGGTGTGTTTACGTTCTACATCGAGGGAAACCTTGTACCGCTTTACGTTTGGGACGAAATAACGTGTGAGTGATTACTGGGCGGGATAAATCAGCACACTGCTAATGGCAGTGATCGAAGTACGAGCGTCACCGGTGCGGTAACTGCCGCCAGCGCCAGCTAGCGCCGAAACTAGAGATGTAGGCAGAAGTTAGGCAATAAGAACCTCTTCGTATCTTAGTCCTGATGAGACCAGTAACTAGTCAATGCGATTTTGCCACCAGAGATAGACGAATAAACAGAGAGAGAGACAGACAAACAGACGGACGGACGGTCGGACGGACGGACGGACGGACGAACGGACGGACGGACGGACGGACGAACGGACGGACGGACGAACGGACAGACGGACGGACGAACGGACGGACGAACGGACGGACGGACGATGGCCGGACGGACGAACGGAAAGACGGACGAACGGAAAGACGGACGAACGGACAGATGGACGGACGCACGAACGGACGGATGAACGAACTTAGGAAAACAAAGACGAAGGGGTGACGGCGGTGGCGACGACGATGACGATGACGACAGCGACTCGCACTCACCTCGTAATTGTTTAACGTTCCGAAGTAGATCGGCACGAACGCCAGCCACACGATGCACGTTGTGTACATCGTGAAGCCGATGAACTTGCTTTCGTTGAAGTTCTCCGGTATCTTCCTCGTCTTCACCGCGTACACCGTGCACGTGATGATCAGCAGCATCACGTAGGCGAGCGAGATGAGAAACGACGAATCGTCGATGTCGCACTTGAGGATCACCTCCTCGCGTCTGCCCTCCGGATAGTACTGCCTAGTCTGCGGCCGCTCTACGATCAACCACGCGCACGCGCCGACAACCTGCACGGACACGAGCACCAGAGCAATCACCACCTGCGATCGGGGCGAGATGAAACTCGGCCGCTTTGCGGATTTACTCGCGCTGTCGAAAATCCGACTGATCCGGTTCGTCTTCGTCAGCAGCGCGGCGTACATCGTACTGAAACCGAATCCGACGCCGAATCGCTGCAGTCCGCAGACGGCCGCCGAGGGCTTCGCGAGGAGCGAGAACGTTATCAGGTAGCAGACGAGGATCCCGGAGAGAAGCATGTAGCTGAGTTCCCTCCCCGACGCGCGAACCACGGGCGTGTCGTTATGCAACACGAAGACGACGACGACGGCCGTCGTCATGACGACGCCGGCGAGCGAGATCACCATGGGCACTATGGCGTAGATGGAATTCCAGTGGATGTAGTTTTCCGGCAGCGGGAAACAGTCGCGCACGTTGCGGCGCGGCCACCAGCCGGGCGGACAGTCTCGACACGTAAACTCGTCGATGAGGTACTGCCAACCTTCGCACTTCTGACAGAACCAGCAGCACATCTCTCCCTGCTGCATCTTCTTCACCTCGCCCGACGCGCACGGTCGGCTGCACTGCGACCACGGCACGTCGGCGTTGTCGTCGCCGAAGTCGACGTCGTCGACGCGCAGGTCGAGTCCGTCGATCCACTTGCCGACGCGGACGTAGTCGTACCTGGTGGCGAAGCCAGGTGTGAAGAATAGAGGCGTTAGGTACATGTATATACAGGTGTGAAGATTAGACGTTAAGTTCATATTTACAGGTGTTACAGGTTACCACGCACGCAGCGATAAGGCATTGCACGCACGCGTATGGCAAGCATTTTGTATCATAATTCGAAAAACCAAGTTTCCTCGCACGAAACCAGATTTCGTGCTCACAAAACCTAGTTTCTTCCTCAAGAAACCAGGGTTCTTGCCATGAAACTAGGTTTCATGGCATGAAACCTGGTTTCTAGCCCTATAACCGCAGTTATAGCTGGAATCTTAGTTTCTTGAGCAAGAAACTAGGTTTTGGGAGCAAGAACCTAGGTTTTAGCAAGAAACCCACTTTCAACCGCGCCAATTGTATCATAATTCGAGAAACCACGGTTCCTCGCACGAAACCTGGTTTCGTGCTCGCAAAACCTAGTTTTTTGCTCAAGAAACCTGGTTTCTAGCCCTATAACCGCAGTTATAGCTGGAATCTTAGTTTCTTGAGCAAGAAACTAGGTTTTGTGAGCACGAAACCTAGTTTCGTCCGAGGAACCGTGGTTTCTCGAATTATGATACAAATGGCGTGGTTGAAAGTGGGTTTCTTGCTGAAACCTAGGTTCTTGCTCAAGAAACTAAGATTCCAGCTATAACTGCGGTTATAGGGCTAGAAACCAGGTTTCATGCCATGAAACCTAGTTTCATGGCAA